AAAAAGAAACTAAAGTTATATTAAAAAAAAGATAATGAAAATAATGTATTAAACAATATATTCTGCCCATTATGATTATACTTAGGGAAAAGAACAACTTGATATACTGTGTATAAACAAACTGCAAATGGAAATATTTATAAAATTTCAAAATTGCTGACCAAGTATCACCTTTGTAATGGACAGGGGCTTTCACTTTATACCTTATACACTTCCAAACTATTATTTTTTTTCAACAAGCACAAATTAATGAAAAAGAAAAATAACAACATAAAAATACTATACCCTCCCCTAACCAACTATCATAATTAGTCATAGATGCTAAATGTCTAGATTCCAGATTCCATGAGAAAATTTATCTATTACTTTTCTACTCCCTACCATAAAATTTCAGGATACTTATTGGCAATTAGAATGTTCAGAAAGGAAAATTAATCAATTAATTAGTTTACTGAGTGATAGTACAAAGCTCCCAAAGAGGGAGGGGACCAGAGAAGGTTGCCCAGGAAAATTTACTTTTTAACATTAAAGATAAGACACGTTCTTGGCAGTCCTATACAATGTGTTGTGAAGCAATTTTACTAATTACTGCTTAGCAAAGCCACACTATGAAATTCTGAGAACTTCCTGAACCCACAAGATGGGAGTCTCACCTTTGCATCTATTTCCTCTGCTTTCTCATTGGCTTCTTGTTCAATAAAAGCCATCATATGCTTAATCTAGAAGGAAGAAGAAAGAAAAGGTTAGTTTATTTTTGACTGTAACAAAATATACATCTTTTCTGATTCATTCAATAATCAATCATTTACTGAAAGTATATTATGTGCCAGGCACTGTGTACAAGGACAAATGAGGTAATTCCTGGTTTCAGGTATCTTACAATCTGGAATTTGCTCTAGCAAATGGACCAGACACAATATTCAGTATCACACAGAACATTACCCTACTCTCAAGGAACATGGAGTCTATGGGGGAGGGAGGACTGAGTATATATCCTCCTCTACTTCATACCCCTTTCAGCCGGCACCCTCTTTTCCTCTTCTCCGTCTATAATTAAACAGATTTATATTTACCTTTTCAACTTTTTTTAAAGATTTATTTTTAAGTAATCGCTACACACAACATGGAGCTCAAACTCACAACCCCAAGATCAAGAGTCACATGCTCTACTGAGCCAGCCACGTGCTCCATACTTTTTCAACTTTCTTACCTCCTACTCTCAACATACTTCAATCTGACTTCTACCCTCTCCACTTCACTGAAATTACTTTTATAAAATGACAATAATCTCCTAGCCCTTAAATCTTGGCCTTAATCAATCTTTCAGCATCTTTTGATATGCTGGTCAACCCTCCCTTCTCGAATAAGAACAATCTCTTCCCTTTGCTTCCATGACTTCCTTGTCCTCCTTCAGTGCCATCCTCTTCTTCCTCTGCCTCCTAGACTGCTCTGTAGATAGCCTACTCACAGGAACCTAAATCCAACACACTCAATAATGAACTGCTAATCACTTCCCCTCTGCCCACTAAGATCTCTATCTTGAGGATTAGCACCAACATCTGACTTTGACCCTTTCTTGTACCTCAGTCCTCACATCCAATCAACCACCAAGTGCTATCAATTCTAATAGTTCTTTAATTTGTCCACATTTCTCCATCTTCATAGCCACTATCCTAGTCTTTGCTACCACCATCTCTCAGCTGAATTATTACAACAGCTTCCAATTTTGTCTCCCTGCCTTCAGCCTTGTTTCCTAATCAACTCTACACTGCAACCAGAAGGATCCTTTAAAAATGCCTGTTTCGGGCACCTGGGTGGCTCAGTCGGTTAAGCATCTGCCTTTGGCCCAGGTCATGATCCCAGGGTTCTGGGATTGAGCCCCATATCGGGCTCCCCGCTCAGAGGGAAGCCTGCTTCTCCCTCTTCCACTCCCTCTGCTTGTGTTCCCTCTCTTGCTGTCTCTCTCTGTCAAATAAATAAATAAAATTGTTAAAAAATAAATTAAAAAATAAATATGCCAGTTTCATGATATATCACACTCTTCCCCCCCCCCAATCTGCTTTACGATAAAGTGTAAAGATTTTAGAAGGTACGTGATCTGGTCAATGCTTACCTTGCCAGCATCATATGAAACATAACCGTCACAATTTGCCACTCTTCAGACTCTTGGTTCCTGTCCTACTAAACTTATTTCAGTTTTTCTGTTCCTTAAATTCACCACCCTCTTCCTCACTTCCAAGATTTCAAATATGCTGCTCCTTCCACTTGGAATACTCTTCTCCCTCCCTTCAGCTGGCTAAGTTCTCGGGATTCTTCTTGCTTAACTGTCACCTCCTTTGGCCAATCTTTCCTGAATTTCTCACCAATGTGCACCTAGGGCCCTCTGCACGTCCTCTACCTAAACACATATTCTTAATTCCTTGCTTACTTGTCCCTATCCACAACTAAACTATAAGGTGAGGTACCTGTTATAAGGCTTCTCTGGCTACAATCAGAGAATAAAGTCCACTGAAGTCTTCTGAATGGGGCTTGGGGTCACTGAACCAATTTAGACTCAAAAATGAAGTTTTCTTTTTTTTAGACTCATAAATGAAGTACTATCTCTAGTGGAAGATGTAAAAATAACACCCAAGTGAATATACAAGTACTACGGCTAATCAAACTCATTGGTAGTTTCATTTCATAGGGGCTCTATCTGAAAGAAATGATGAGTAAAAAAAGATGATTTAAAAAATACCAATAATCTCTAGGTCATTAATCATTGTGTTTATTTTATTTTTTAAAAAGACTATTTGAGAGAGAGAGAGAGAAAGAGCACGCCTGCGGGGGTAGGGGCAGAGAGAGAGAAATCTCAAGCAGACTATGAGCTGAGCTCGGAGCCCGAAGCAGGGCTCTATCTCACGACCCTGGGATGATGACCTGAGCCAAAATCAAGAGTCAGATGTTTAACTGACTGAACCATCCAGGAGCCCCTAATTCCCTGTATTTATTAATTCTCCCACTTAAGTTCCATGAGTATAGAGATCTTATTTTTTACATCACCAAAACACCAGAACATGGAACAACTACTCCTGTAGGGGGTGCTCAATAAACATTTGTGAATGAATGAGAACCGGTTGGTATTTTAAGCCTCCTGAGATATCCCAAGTCCTTTTTAGAGTTTAACAATCTGGAAACAATTCCCAGCTTCTCCAGGTACCACAAAGATACCATAAATCTAATGTACACACAGGTGAGTGAGGATTTGTTTTACAATAACGTGAATATGCTTAACACTACTGAACTGTGCAGCTAAAAATGGTTAAGATGGTGGCGCCTGGGTGGCTCAGTCATTAAGCGTCTGCCTTCAGCTCAGGTCATGATCCTGGGGTCCTGGGATCGAGTCCCGCATCGGGCTCCCTGCTCCACGGGAAGCCTGCTTCTCCCTCTCCTCTCCCACTCCCCCTGCTTGTGTTCCCTCTCTCGCTGTGTCTCTATCAAATAAATAAATAAAAATCTTTAAAAAAAAAAATGGTTAAGATAACTAAGTTTTGTTATGTGTTTTATACATTTTTTAAAAAAGGGCATTAATAGGGGCGCCTGGGTGGCTCAGTCAATTAAGTGTCTGCCTCTGCTCAGGTGGTGATCCCAGGGTCCTGGGGTCAACCTCCCATTGGGCTCCCTGCTCAGTGGGGAGTCTGCTTCTTCCTCTCCCTCCCACTCCCCTTGCTTGTGCTGTCAAATGAATAAAATCTTTAAAAATAAATAAATAAAATAAAAAGGGCACTGACAGGGCGCCTCTCTGGCTCAGCTGGTTAAGCGTCTGCTTCGGCTCAAGTCATCCCAGGGTCTTGGGATGGAGGCCCGCGTCTGCTCAGCGGGGACCCTACTTCTCCCTCTGCCCACCCCCCACTTGTGCTCTATCGTGTGCACACTCTAATAAAATATTTTAAAAAATTAAAAAATATAAAGTGCATTAATAATCCAACCTCGTGGCATCAAAGTCTTAAGGAAAAACAGTATGGTTTGAAAGGGAAGATTTCTTTTTTGTCAAAATTCTTAGCAACTACCCTATGCTTGAGGAACCAAAATAATTATGATAATCAAAGCCTATTTCATAGGTAATACAATACTTATAAAATCTCAGGCCTTGAAATATTTGGGGTACCTAATCCAGAAGTACTTTGTATAGAAAATCACTGTGACCTTGCTAAAAGGATTAGCCCCCACAGATTGGTGTGTTCACGGTAAGGAATGGTATCTCCACAAGTTCAGTCTGAAGCCTTACTGAACTCAGTTTGGAATTTTAAAAGTAGTTTAATACAGTAATCAAAACAGGTGTTTATAAATGCTACAAGGCACAGTGGGCCTGTAGAGGTGAACCCTGATTCAAACCTGCATTATCTGCCTTTATCACTCATGCTGGACCCTCTACCAGATTTGACTAGATCAGCACAGCCTAGAGCAAAACACTCATTTTAACCCAGGTCAGAGAAGGCTGTTTACAGCCAACATGATCATATTCTGTCTTCAAGAGTTCCAACAAGAAAAATAGTCAAGCCCTTCAGGACATTTAACTCCACCCCTAAGGCAGAAAAATCTGGCCTTTAAAAGATACTCTCGCTGTGTCTCTCTCTGTCAAATAAATAAATAAAAATCTTAAATTAGAAAAAAAAAAAAGGAGACTACCTCCTTTTTAAAAGATACTTTTCATCTTCCTGCTAACCCTACTGGGTTTTAAGTTTTTTGAAATCAGATTCCTTCAAAAACTGGATGAAGTAAATAACATTACTCCCCAGACAAAAAAGCAAATATACATAAATTTTAATACAGTAGGGAAGAAGTCAAGGAATCCGCAATTTATAAGCACTTGTTATGTGCTTGGTGCCTGGTCTATTCACTGCCCTGAGAATACAGGGAACAAAACACACTGCCCTTATGGAGCTTATGTGTAGCGTGGAGGGGTAGAGACCATAGATTCCTTCATCTTTCAATTTTATAGAAAGAAAAAATGGTTTTGGTCTAGATTCCAAGGAAATACACCACTTTATATTTTTCCTGGGGAAGGCTTTTTCTTCAATATATTATAACAAAGGGGTAGGGGGGATGATGAAGGAACAAGTGGAAAAAGAGAATCAGCACTGTAACTGTGACTACTAGAAGATGTGGAGGACACTGTACTTTTCCACTGCACCAAGTTTTTCCTATAGTAAAAATCAGAAGCAGCAGTAATAAATGTAAAAACCCCATTGTTCTGTAAGAATAAGATTTCTTAATCTTATCCATAGATGCTATTTTTGTTACACAATTTCCCTTTGTGATTATTAGCAGGAGACCACGGGTGAAGAAACACTCCACTTTTCTTAGTGCACGTTAGATTAAGAATAAAATGCAAAGTCATCTTCTAGGAAATGGAAATATCCAAGGAAAAAACATTTTATTGCTCACTTAAGAAGATTCATAAGCCAGTGAGTGAGCTTTAGTCAGAGAATTTTCCTAGTACTTCAAAAAGAAATACTTAGTTCTCTAAACTATAAAGATTAAATTGCAGGCATAAGTTTCCTTCTCTGAAAAATCTACTGGCAATATGACTACTAAATTCAAGGACCATGGTTTCAGAATATCTCTGGCAGGGCAAATGGAAACCATTTTTTCCCATGTTTGTTACAGGCCTATCAATGCCAATATATTTTCCTGGGAGTCTTTCTAATTGTAACTTTCTTAATGCCTACAACTTGAAGGTATGGCACATTAAACTAAACAAAAAAGCAAAACAAACAAAAAACCCTAGTTTCCCAGGACTGATACACTTGCAAAAATGATGCAGATTCACGACTTCCATAATTTTTTCCATTAACCTTGACTTATTTACTTTGTGCCAAACGCTGGCGCTGGCGTTCATAAATCGAGAGGAATTCTGCATTATTATTAATAAACATTAACGTACACACTAGTGAGAGACCAACGATTACAATTCATTATGATAGAGAAGATCCTTCCAAAATGAAGATTAACAATTCAATGAATGACCTCAAAACAACATTGGAAGCAACTCTCTCCCGTCAGCATTCTTTATCGTACTGCGAACCCTTCCCTCAGGGTTAAAAATCAAGTGAAAAGGAGGTCTTCAATCCTTGCATTCGATTTGCATTTAAACCCGGTTTTCAATTCTCTGCTTTAACAACCACAGCGAATACCCTGGGAAAACAAGGAACGCCGAGGTGTAAGCCAAAAAGCCAGCACATTCAAGAAGGCGGCGCACAAAACCGCAGCTGAAGACACAGGAGCTGTAGGTCAAATTCCCCTCCTGCAGACAGCCTACTAAGCCCAGGAGACTTGGAGTAAGGGACCCTCCTCCGGCATCTGGGCTGCCCGAGGCCCGCGTCCTCCAGTCCGCCACCCCCGGACCCGCACTGCGACTTCACCAGACCTAACCGCAGGTCCTACCTGCTTTTGCACGTCAGCATCGCTGAGCGCCATGGCGAAAGCTCTGCTAGGCCGGAGGCCCACTGGCTCTAGCTTACGCTGGAAGGGGGCGGTGGAAAGGGGCGGTGGAAGGAAGGGGAAAAGAAAATCCAGGGGAGCTTTCGACTTCCTTCGTTTTATAACTCCGGCTTCCGGTTCCTGCCAGGTGACCGCGCAGCCCAGCCCTGTGAGCTTTCTCAGCCAGTGGGAAGAGAGCGGGTCCGGGGAAGTCCCGCCCTGCCGCCCCCTGACTGAGCGCCTGCGCGGACGGTCTCTTCTCCGTCCAATCCCAGTCCATTTTACAGCTGGCTCGTGACTTCTGAGCTGTTTTCTTCAACAGCGTATTCCTCGGAAGAGAGGGTTCAGGAATTCAGGCGTCTGAAATTAGCCGAATTCTGTGTATTTTTCTAGCCTTAAAGCCCTTGCGTATTTTTTTAAAGTTTGATTATTTACTCCCAAATCAGAATTTATTATTTTGCTTTCCTGCCTTAATGAAAACAAATTAACCAATATTTTATTTATTAATAGATTTTATTTTTAGAACAGTTTTAGATTTACAAAAAAATTGAACAGGGCAGAGAGTTTTCATGTATCTTTCTCACCCGCACACACAGATTCCCATATTATTAATATGTTATGATGGCATATTTGTTACAATTAAGTAATATTGATGTATTAACTCAAGTCCATAATTATTCAGATTTCCTTAGTTTCAACCTAATGCTAGATCCCATCTAGGATACTGCGTTTTATTTAATTGTCATGTCCCCTAAATTTCTTGGGTGTGACAGCTACTCAAACTTTCCTTCCTTTTTTTTTTTTAAATTAATTAATTTGTCAGAGGGGGAGAGAGGGAGACAAAGCACAAGCAGAGGAACGGCAGCCAGAGGGAGAAGCAGGCTCCCTGCTGAGCAGGGAGCCCCATGTGGTGCCTGATCCGAGGACCCTGGGAACATGACCTGAGCTGAAGGCAGGCGCTTCAACGACTGAGCAACCCAGGCGTCAGAGTACATGTATTTTATTACCAACTTTTTATTTTGAAGAAATTTCAAATATAATAAATTTTAAGAACAGTGCAATAAACTCCATTCACCTAGATTCACCAATTGTTAACATTTTGCTATTTGACTTTATTACTTTTCATTAATCAAATTCAGGAAATTTCACAAGTCCATAATCAGATTTTGCCATATGTCCTACTAATATCCTTTGTAGAAATTTTTTTTCTCATCCTGAATCCAGTACAAGATCACCTATTGTAATAATTGTCATGTCTTTTTTAGTCTTTTTTTTTTTTAATTTATTTGAGAGAGAGTGAGAGAGAGCATGAGCTGGGGGGAGGCGCATAGGGAGAGGGACAGAGAGTCTTAAACAGAGTCCTCGCCTAGTACGGAGCTCAGGTGCTCGATCCCACGACACCTGAGCCCAAATCAAAAGTATGATGCTTAACCAACTGTGCCATCCAGGCACCCCTTTTTAGTCTCCTTTAATATGGGATGGTTCCTCAGACTTTGTCTTTCCTGATAGTGACATTTTTGAAGAGTTCCACACATTTGAAGAGGCCAGTTGTAGAAAGTCCCTCATTTGGTTTTGTCTGATAGTTTCCTCATAATTAGATTCTGGTTATGCATTTTGGAAAAAGTCCCAAGCTGATACTTCAGTCTGTGGCTTTAGAAATTGAATCAGCGGGGTGCCTGCGTGGCTCAGTCCTTAAGCATATTGTATCCTATGCAAAAGTCCTATGCATATTGTATCCTCAGTGCATCATATCAGAAAAGTACATTTCAGGGCGCCTGGGTGGCTCAGTCGTTAAGCGTCTGCCTTCGGCTCAGGTCATGATCCCAGGGTTCTGGGATGGAGTCCCACATCGGGTTCCCTCCTTGGCGGGAAGCCTGCTCTCCCTCTCCCACTCCCACTGCTTGTGTTCCTGCTCTCACTATCTCTGTCTCTGTCAAATAAATAAATAAAATCTTAAAAAAAAGAAAAGAAAAGTACATTTCAGTTTGTCCTTTAATGAGAATGGTACACACATTTTTAAGGCTCTTAATACACACTGCCAAATTGTTTTCCAGCTGTACTAGTGTACGGTAGTCTTTGTAGTGTGTGACAGATGGGTGCACAGTTTTGAGAAAACTGGTAATGTTGGTTAAGGGAAGGATTCAGCCACAGGACAATAAGATAACAGAGCAACAGAAATCCATGCGATTGACCTTAACTTGATCAATATTTTTTTTTAAGATTTTATTTATTTATTTGACAGAGAGAGACATAACAAGAGCAGGAAAACAAGCAGGGGGAGTGGGAGAGGGAGAAGCAGGCTTCCTGCTGAGCCGGGATCCCGATGCAGGGTTCGATCCGACGCCTAACGACTGAGCCATGCAGGCGCCCCTGATCAGTATTTTTTTTAAGATTTTATTTATTTATTTGAGAGAGAGAGTGAGAGAGCACAGGCAGGGGGAGGGGCAGAGGAAGAGGGAGAAGCAGGCTCTCAGATGAGCAGTGAGCCCAACTTGGGGCTTGATCCCAGGACTCTGGGATCATGACCAGAGCCGAAAGCAGGCGCCCAACCCACTGAGCCACCTAGGTGTCCCTTGATCAGTATTCTTATCAACTGAGCTAAACCAGTTGATAGGCTTATTTCTTTCATCTTGATAGTTTCTGCATTAATAACTTCATTCTTTGCCATCCCAGAAGACAGATTTTGGGGATGCCTCCTTCTAGCATCCCTAGGTCACTCATTTGGATTATAATCCCTCCTCCCATTTATTTTTACAGGGTTCTGCAAATAACTGGGGGAGTGGGAGAAGCAATCTAATGCCACATGTCTACTCATTGTGAAATTAATGTCTGGAACAGATCAATGTGCTTTTGGTTTCTGGAAAGCAGTGTGCTGATTTTTATGATTTGTTTATTATTAATTTGAGACAATAAAAATAAAGAGTACAAAGAATAATTTAAACATTCATGTAGCATGTACCACCACCCAGAATCAACAATTAACATTTGTCACATTTGCTTTAAGACTTCATTTCTAAAGTAAAATAGTGTTACAGGTATAATTAACATTCCCTTTTGTGCAGCTTTCTCCTCCCCTACGTTAATGGTCTTTACAACTAGTTTCTGCAGTATTTTGCTGATTCACCAAGGAATGAGCCAGGTCCTGTGTGATAAGAATATGGTAAGCTTCATAGAGACAGTCTCTGGAGTGAAAAAGTTATTATAAGTACAATAAAAGATTAACTAGTTAGTAGTTATCCAAATCCAATTTCCTCCTATATTATTTTAGGTCTTGTGAAGGAGCTTTATTAAAACAGCTTTTCAGATAAATTCCAAAAATCCCACTCCTAGATAAGCCTATTTACTTTTGGCTTCACAAAATCATTGTCCTAGATTCCTGTCAGGTTAGTCACAAACAGATGGTTTCTGTGCTCATTGCCTCACCTGCTCCTAAGCTGATACTTCAGTCTGTGGCTTTAGAAATTGAATCAGCGGGGTGCCTGCTTGGCTCAGTCCTTAAGCGTCTGCCTTCGGCTCAGGTCATGATCCAAGGGTCCTGGGATCGAGCCCCGCATCGGGCTCCCTGCTCAGCGGGAAGCCTGCT